ATTGTGCAGGCCTGGCGTGAGCTCCGCACTCAACTCCTTGCATCAGGCCTCAAGGTCAACAACAGCAAAACGGCTTTCATTGCCACAGACAGAGCCACCCACAAGGCACTAGCCAAACTCCTTGGCCCAGACGACCCACCCATCCAGTCAGTGATGCGAGATCTCGGGATTGATCACCAAGCAGGTCGAAGACGCCGCATCACCACACTGCAGAATCGGTTCAAGAAGAACAAGCAGCGGCGCATCAAACTGCGCACATTGAGGCTCCCCAATCTCCGCACCAGACTCCGGCTCCATCGCGGAGGCATCCAACCGGTTGCTTTGTGGGGCGTCGAAGGGCAAGGGCTCGCTCCCCGCTACCGACAAGCCCTCAGACAAGCACTTGCCACCCACCTTGGCCTCCACACAGGCGGCCTCACGGATGTCATCTACGACCAACACCAAACCAAGTACCTGGATCCTGCAGACCAAGTGGTAATCCAACATGTCCAGGCAATCCATGCCCTCATCACTCACTGGCCCAGCGACCACCTTCCACATGTTGAACGGGCTTGGCTGGAACTGCAGAACCAACTTCGCCAACAACAATAGCCTTGGTACCATGTCAAGGGGCCCATGGCTGCCACACTGGCATATCTCAAAGAATGGGGGTGGCACACAGACAGCCTTTATGACTGGCGCCGGAACGAGACGGCCTTTATGACAGAAGCCCACATCGATCTTCGCCAACCCTGGTGGCAGGTTGAAGAACTGCTCCAAGCCGAGGCCAAACAACAGCGCCAGCATCGTTTTGCCAACAGACGGAACTGCCAAGGCCTCGTTAGCGGGATCGACTGGACCACGGCTTCCAAAATCACCAAGCACATCAGCAAGGCCCAGGCCAACCACATCCGCACTTGGAACCAAGCGGCCATCCGATTCAAAGCCGACACCGCCACCCAGCAGTGCCCCCTATGCCAAGTCCCAGCAACGCCCAAACACATCGTGTGGCTATGCAAGTGGCATCACAACCAAAAGCACCAGCCTCTCCCAGTGCCTTGGACTGAGCGGCTGCAAGATCCATTGGAGGAACCACTCTGGGGCTATGGATGGATCCCTAAGGAGCCACAAGACCACCTCCAACGACCCCGTGCACTGGAAGGACATGGCTGTTGGCAGTCCCTCGAACCTCTTCCACTCCAACCGTGGCAAGGGCTCTCCGTCACCATAGATGCCACTCCCACCTCCGGCGACAAAAGATCCCAAGCCTGGATCTTCGCACTCTGCATCCATGGCTATTCGCTGGGAGCCCTACAAAGGAAAGGGACCATCACTGGCATGGCGAGAGGACCCCAGACAAAGGCCAGAGCCATCTTTCAAGGGCTCCTCACCCTGGCTCAGTTTATCCAAACGCCAACCAGGGTGATTGTCCAGGTCAGCTCGGCTTGACAAGAGGAAAGGCTTCCATGACCTGGTCCAGGGGCAGCCGGCAGAGCACTTCACTCTGATCACGCCCCTATACATCCACAAAAACCACAAGACCCCAGATGCTCCAGGAAATGAACCACACCTACGCCAGAGACAAAGGGATGCAGCCCTAGCGGCATGGGAACGAGCCAGCAGCATCCACAGCCCGGACAAAGAAGCCTGGCAGAGCATCCTCGACCAAGACCACCTCGAGATCTACAAGCATGCGGCTGCCCGTCTGGCCAAAATCTATGATGACAAGGATCACTACTTGCACACCAAGCCAGGCCGAGCAATTGGCCACAAAACAAAGCAGAGGAAAAAGACCCTCATTGCACAATGCCAGCAGCCCTGGCAACCGGGCAAACACCAATGGAAGGCCCACCGCAGCGGCTACCAGTGCCACACCTGCCAAACACGGGTGCACCAGGGCTTAGCTGCTTCCATGATCGAAGAACGGCTTCAGGAAGACTGTGCACCACTCACTGCACTGGCCCCGGAACCCGACCTCCCACCTGAGCGGGCAGTTGGGAAGAAAACCACCAGAGCCAGCCGCATTGCCTCCTTACTACAGATCCAGCAAGAGCATCCCACCACTCCGGATGTTCACCATCTTCAGGAGACGACTGGTTACTTGAAGTGCACCAAATGCAACCAAGCCATCCACAAAAGGGCCAATGAAGATCTGTTCAACCAGTTCCTGAACAGCACCTGCATCGATGCACCTTACTCCCAAGAGCATGCAGCTCATGGGACCCACACTCTGTGGCAGATTGGCAAAGGCATCCAATGCAAAGGCTGTGGACTTCACACCCACTTGGATGCACAAGACCGCCTGATCCTCACGAAAGGGTTCCAACGAGAGTGCAAAGGTCACAAACCGACCTCACCCACGCTTGCTCACTTCTTCAGTCAAGCAAGTACAGCCAGCCAAACGGTGCCAGCGCCACCAGAGCCTACCATCAGCTCTACTGCAGCTGCACCACCGGCTCCCACAGACCACACCACGGGCCATGATACCCAGCCCAAGGCACCTCTCACGGCACCTGCTCAGCAAGGTTCTGATGAACTCTCGCCTCCAGTGCCAAAGAAACTCAGATTCTCGGCAGTGCCACCGACGGCCGATGATGAAGCAATGTCCCAGAGCATCGAAGAGGCTGAAGAAGAACCTGACGATGCCCACGACCCTGAAATCCTCGTCGATTTCTTCTGAGGCACTGAGGCCAACTGAGCCGCCATCGAACAACAGGGCCACTGAGTCCGACCGCACATCAACTTCAGGAGAAAAAACATACATACATACATACATACATACATACATACATACATACATACA